GTAGGTGGTAAATAGGATGAGGAGAATGTACATTATGGGATGTTTTAAATTAGACATGATTAAATTTTGGTTTATGTGTCAATAACTAGGTACACTCCTGTGCTACTTTTCAGTATCAATATGCATTATACTAGATGATATGAGACTGAAATACATTTAGAGTATGGTTTGCAATTTGCTGCTTTACTCATCAAATCTTTTGTACCCAAGTGCTTTAAATCCTTAAGGCCTCAGTGCATATTTTGAGTAGGTGTATTTTTGATAAGTGGACAACATTTTTTGCTCTGCTTGCAAAAGCAGCATCAAGGTGGTGCACAAAGAAACATTCCAAAGCCTCTTTTTTTAAGGTGTTCTTCCATGCTTAGGAGCTCTTAGCGTTGCACTATGCGCTGAGGTTCTGTGATAACCTCTGGTAATGCCATTTCAGTGTTGAATGTTGTTACCAAAATAATACAACAATGCAGTTAAGTGTGGTAACTTGGTAAGCTTTTGAATAGAGGAGTGTGTCTAAGCTATACCAATGCAATTGTCTTGTTCTTTGTCTTGTCTGATGAGAAGAGAGAGCAGGATCTGTGGGAAGGGAATACAGCCAGTAGTGATGGCCAAGGTGTGCTGGGACCATCTAACTTTCCCTAATGGATCTGGCTGTTGGCATAGCTGCTGTTGTAGGTGTTTGGTGTGTTTTGGAATTCTCCTTCCAGAGGATTCACCAGGATGTACTGCAGCATCTGTCTGTATCCCAGCAGGATAAAGCTGCCAAGGCTGGTTGCTCTGCAGGCCTGGGCTCCTGACTTCAGCACAGAGTGTTCAGCTCTTTCCTAGAACTAGCTGACTGCTGTCCTCTAGATTTGGCATAGCTGCTGTTGTAGGTGTTTGGTGTGTTTTGGAATTCTCCTTCCAGAGGATTCACCAGGATGTACTGCAGCATCTGTCTGTATCCCAGCAGGATAAAGCTGCCAAGGCTGGTTGCTCTGCAGGCCTGGGCTCCTGACTTCAGCACAGAGTGTTCAGCTCTTTCCTAGAACTAGCTGACTGCTGTCCTCTAGATAGCACTGAGTCATTATTAGGCTGAGGATGATAAGTGTATTTATCTTCTGTTTTGAAAAAATACAAATAAGATAAGATTGAAATATGTTTTTGTATACTCAACATGACAAGGAACAACTGTCAGGTGTTTGCTTTACTGTATGGATTTCTTATTTGTATTTTGCTCCATGATATGTCAGGTCTTTTTTTACCCCAGCTTTGCTTATTCTCACAATCTGGGCCAGAATGCTATGTCAAAACAGATTTTGACACTTCTGCCTCTTTTAAAGAGGCAATAATTGTTATTCCTAAGTACTGATGCGCAGCAAATAGTGTTTTAAAGAATCTGAAATGTTTTCTCTTTAGTGGAATTTAAACAATCAACAAAGTTATTGTTAACCTTATATAGACAGGCACGGACATACTCTGGCGTGGACACACTTTCCCCCTTCCCATAAGCCCTAATTCCCTATGGGAGTGATGATGCAATTGCTGTGTTGATGTCTCTGTCCGTGCACTGCTCACTCGTGAGTCCATTGTGACCCCAATTTGAATCGAGATGGTGGTGTGATAAGTAATGTTTCGTTAAATGGAACCAAGCCAGTGGTTTGCTGGTATGAGGAGAAATTTTAGTTCTTCCTTTCCATCCCAAACCTCATGCATACTCCTGAGCTGGGCCTGATTACTTGCCTTACCCTTTACCTCTCTGAATTACAAGGGAAGTAACCTGGAAGAAAAAAAGACAGAAGTGAGTTGTTCTCTGACAGTTTATCAAGATGGAAGGTTTAGGTGAGCACCCATGCTTGGCTGAGGGGCAGGTGGGGCCAGGAAATCAAAGCAGCAATGGAATCCTGTCTCTTGACAGAAGCTGTTATGTATGTGCTTCATTTTCTCATAATACCTGAGTTCTTACAAACCTCACAAAGAAGACAGGAAACCAGATGAGGAGAGAAATGGTCCTAGGGTTCTCAAAAAGGAAAGGGTTGAAGCTTGTGCTTTGTTTGACACCAGAGCGTTCAGGTATAAAACTCAGTCATTCTGGGCCTCATTGGTTCTGATACAGGTTTTGACTATTCATGTTTAATTGTATTCTGGTAGTTTTCAAATTTAAAAAGGGGGGAAAAAAGGCAAAATTAAGTACTAACACAGTTATTTCAGGTTTGTAAAACGACAGTGGAATTAATAGTGGACTGAAATGTTATTTGACCTGAGTTCAGGATAGCTTTGCTCTTCCTGATGTTGCCTCCTTTGGAAAGTTAACTGTTAACCAGGGTATGTGCTTTGCTTTAGTTCTCATTGGTTTCCAGTTTAGAGAGTGGCGCTTCCGATCCTTATTTGTCTTCTCCTTCCATTTTGATTGTGTTCTCTGAGAACTCTCCTAAAGCATTCTTCCTGTTTGAATAGCAGTAATTACCAGGAGTTAGAAGGAAAATATAATTCCATATATCCCCTCCTAAATATTTCGTGTTGTTCCACCTGCTGCCACTTTTATAGTCCTTTGGCTCTGTGTTCAATGTTCTTTAGTGTTTGCTCTGATGCAGCAGTCTAGGATTATCTGGAAAATCATTTTGATTTCCATTATAGAATATTCTGTAGCAATATTGGTGGATTTGCTTACTGTAACCTCAGGCCCTCACAAAAAGACTACGTGTCACACTCCTTGAGCACTGGCACATGTTGCTGTGGTACCACATCCCTCAGAGCTAAGCCTAGTGCAGCGTGGAAAAGTGCAAGACAAATCTAGACCCTGAATACCAATGTATCTGTGATATTAGGGCAAAATACAAACAGTTAGTACTGTGTACTGTTCTTAAGGTCCAGCAAGGCTTTTCAAGGGTGCTGTACCAAATACACTGTCACAGGGTTTTCCATAAAGAGCTGTAGTGGCTGTGTCTGCATTCACTTGGTATTAACCCTTACCAGCACCAATCAGGTGGTTTAGAAGTTGGTTTTTAGTTTCATGCTGTTATGTCTCTGCAGAGTTTGCTAAAGTTTAAGTGATGTGATTATAGCACCATTAAGTTGGCATAATTTATATGTGGAAGACAATCTCACGTTATCCCCTTGAGGATGCCCTTTACAAGGCTGTGTATAGAGGACATGTGGAAGATCAGCACATCAAAGAGCATTTTGGCTTCTAGGGTGGCTCAGTATGAGCTGATTTTATAGCACTGTGCATCTTTTGTTTGGGTGCTACCCATTGTAGTGCAATCATACAAAATCTAATCCAGAGTGGGACCTCATACTTGCTGTTGCAGCCGTCAGTTGCTGTCAAATTAAATTCATATCTACATAGCATTCAAGTGTTTACAGAGTTTTTTAACAGTATTTTGAGATTCAAAAAATAAATTATTCAGCATTATTCAGGAGGGAGATACAGACTTTTCCCCCTCCATAACAGACTATCTATCTCTTTCTCTCCCCACGCCTCTTGAATTTCATTACAATTCCCACTCCTGGGCTGTGTCTGCACTTTTGATTGACAGGTTTTATTCACTTGCTCCAGCCAGAGAGAAGCCTGTCTTGATTTCAGACCTTGGCTAAAGGATAGGCAGGAACGGTTGAAAGAAAATTATTTGAAAGAAAAATGTAACTGTGGAAAATGTAAAGCAATAATATTCTGGGGCCAAGTAAACCTAGTGCTGTGTGTAGATGAAGAGGAGCAGAGCGTGACAGTTTCCCAGTCACCAGCTCACAAGTCCAGAGTGTCATTTTGCAGCTGCGTGCCCTGTAAGGGTCAGCGAGATCTGATTAAGTTGTTTGCTTTGTAGATCTCCAAAGATTTAGAATATCTTCTAGGAACGTGTCCAGAGATTGATGTTTGCCCCCAAGTAACTCGCAAAAATAGTTTTCAAGTAAGCAGGAATACAGCTGAGTTTTTCACAGGAGAAGTAATGCTAAAGCCATGCTAGAATAATATAGATATTTGTTTTTCCTTACGAAAAGCACTTACATTATTTAGAGGCTGACAGAAAAAAGAACTTACTGGAGATCTGCACTGTTCTGCTTGAATTGATGCAATCCATATCAAAAGATCAAACATTTTTAAATGAAAACTTACTCCAGCATGTGTATTGCAGTTTATGACAAGTTTTCTTTCTCTGATTACTTTGTGTCACCCACAATGACAAAACGAAAACATCTGGCTGTCATAAGTAGTGGCTTTGTACAGGATGGGGAGTTTAACACCATTAACTTCCATTTACATACTGCCATGATACTTTATAGAAAAGGTTGGAATGATTTTTACTTTCCTCCGTACCAGAAAAAGAACTACAGTTTTAAGTACTTTCCTAGCTGCTGTTTGTTGTCTGTGCATACATGCAATATAGTTTGCATGTTGACAGGTCTGTAGGTGGCCATGAAATTTACTGAAAATAGCTACTTGTTACAAATGTACAGACTGGAAAGACTGGAAATTTTCTGTGGGTTGTTAACACCCAATGACTCCTGAAGAAAAGTAATTAACAGAACACATTAAGGTGTTTCCTGATTCCAGAAAATGCTGACCTTTTTTTTTTGTATTTTTGTTTTGCTCTTCAGTGAGATAGAAGATGAATTCAGCTGAAATCACTGATGATGATGAAGGTAAAATATTATACTGTGTGTAATCTTTGATGAGGCAAAAATACTTGTCAAATTAAAGCCTGCTGCACTTGGATCATGATAAATTACATTAATGTTTTTAAAAGTCTATCTAAAAATGCACCATTATCTTTGCTGCTTATCGTATTTTTATTCTCTGCATCCTTTCACCCCTCCAAAAAAATTTTCCTGCTGTAACTTTATTTGTTTATACTTCAGATTCTTCTTTGGGGAAGAAACTGTCATTTAGTAGAAAACTGAATGATTTGACTTTGGGGTGGCCTTGGCATACACTTACCATAGAAGGCATAAAATATAGTGATGTTCTTCAAAACATCATCTTCTTGGAGAAGAGAAGGTTGCGTGGAGACCTCACAGCACCTTCCAGTGTCTGAAGGGGCTACAGGGAAGCAGGAGAGAGACTCTTTGTTAGGAGCTGCAGTGACAGGACAAGGGGCAATGGGTACAAATTGAAAGAGGGGAAATTTAGGTTAGATATTAGGAAAACGATTTTCCTGTGAGGGTGGTGTGACACCGGTGTGACACTGGCACAGGTTGCCCAGGGAGGTAGTGGCTGCCCCAACCCTGGCAGTGTTCAAAGCCAGGTTGGATGAAGCCTTGAGCAACCTGCTCTGGTGGGAGGTGTCCCTGCCCATGGCAGAGGGTTGGGACTAGATGATCTGTAAGGTCCATTCCAACCCCTAAAATTCTGTGATTCTATGAAAACACGTTTTCATGAAAGGAAACAAACCACAAAGGATTGTATGAAGAGTGTCACGGTTTTCTAGAGAGGGTGCTTTACCTTTCTAAACCTTCTCTTTTTCCAGTAAAAATTCCTAAAAAAAATGTGAAAGTAGAAACAGAAAATGAAGACGAAGCTCTGGACTGCTCCGTGACATCCAGATCTGCTGAGAAACACTCACTGGATGGCACAGTCACTTGCCTACAGGATTCCAACAAACGCAAACAGACCTCACTGGGCTGCGATGGGTCAGGTCAGCAAGATGCCTTACCCAGCGTGAAGAAGAGACGCTTTGCGCAAGAGGTGACTTCTCTATTCACGACTGTGTGGTTCTTTTTCTGTTCACATTTCTTAGGCTAAGTTCATTGCTGCTCTAAGTACAATGCATGTCTTTTAAATAGTTTGCATTGATAATGAGTTTGATGCAAATTTGGCCAATCTTAAGCCAGTTTGCACACGTGTCTGGGTGTTTCTTTAAATAGCATGGGAACAATCATAGCTGTGAAATACAGTTATAGGTTAATTCATTCGTGTGAAGTGTATTTCTGTTGTTTGTCAGAGAGTGTAGGAGCAGGCAGCGATTTGGAGTCACAGCATGACTGCAATTACAGTCACAGAGTCAGTTCTTCAGCTGGATCCTCAGTGGTAGAATCAGGGCTGTAATTCTTCCTTCTGTGACACAGGTTTAATGTCAGTGAGACAAGTATAAACTGGTGTATTATTCGAAAGATAATGCAGGGATGCAGAAGACATTGAGCCTATCAAGAGCTGAGTGTATTAGAAGTCTGGTGCAGCATCCCACTAGTGACAATTCAGACATTTCTTTAGCCAGTGAAGGAGATGCCCAGTCTTTTCCGTTATCCTGATCTCCTGTTTCACCTCTCTAGCAATGGGAGGTTTTAATTAATCTTTGCTGAAACTGAGCAAGTTTGGTTTTGTCCTTGTTCTTTTCAGTAGGGAGGGCAGTGATCATCTGTTCCTAGAAAAGTCCTCTGCACACGGGAAAATTAATGTGACATTGTCCACCCTCAGCCCTTCCTTTCCAATAATAAAATTCATTTTTCAACTCTTCTTCAGGAGTCACTTTATATATTTGTTGTTCCCCTTGAGAGTCCTGAAGGAGTAGTGTGCAGTGCTGGATAGTGACATCCCTCCTGACACCCTCTAGAGCAGTATAGTGACCTCCTGTTTTCCACACTCAGCACTTTATTAAAATAACCTTAGATTCAAATTCATCCTCTTTTGAATAACTTCAGGCCCTGGGTTATATTTAGTGCATGACCTACTCTAATGCACATATCCTTTTCTGCTCTAGTGCTACCTAGCCAGTTATTCCATGTTGTATTTGTGCATTTCATATCTCCTTTCTAGCCATAGCTCGTCATATTTCTTTTTCTTGACTGTCATCTCTCTGACTTCTCAGGGCTGTTTTTTTCCTTGAATACCTCTGGTAGGTAGGTTTTAATCTTATTACATGGTTTCTTTCTTTTCCTTTCTCTTTTTACAATTGTTTTCCTTACATTCAGATTCTTAAAAGAGCTTCATAATAGTCTCTGAACTGTGCTTGCTTTGGATTTTCCTGTTTGCTGTTTGCATTTAATAAATTTTTACATTTAGTTTGAAATTAATTATAACTTTGGACTTACAATATCAGAAATTAACCCAGTAATAACAATAAAAATTCCTTCTTGGCTGACCCCAATGAATCAGCATGTTTAGTTAGGTAACCAACCAGAAGCAGTCATCAATCTTAACAGCATTTTTGAAGTTAATTACTTTTCTAGTACCGATATTTTGTTTTAATTGATGAATTTATTAACTATTTCTATTTAAACAATGGACAAAATCTTCATTATTTTCGAGAATTTTGTGCTACATTTTTACTACACATCACATAGGCATCTATGTATGATATAAACTGACCTGTACTTTGTATTGGGCTGGTGATTATTTTACTAGATTACTTTCCATCTGAAGACATTTCACTTTTGTAAAAATTCTGAATGTCACTTCATAACCAGAAATTAATTTTCCTTAATTTTCTTTTAAAAAAAGAAATGTTGATGATTATAAATTTATAAAATTTTTGTGTGAGACTTTTCCAATTTCTCGTGTGTTTGACAGAATCTTTCTATGTTTCTTGCTCATATATTTTTTATTCTTCCATACTAGAATATTGTACTGTATTCTTACAGATCTATAGACTTCGTTTATTGAGCAGAATGTCATAAATTGGCTGGACTGGAGCACTGAACAGAACAGTAATTAAGCAACTTTTAAAACTTGGCTTAGGATTCACAGAGATAATGCAAGAGACGGTTTCACAATTTCTTTTATTGGTTGATGTTTACCAAAATGCTGCGTTTTGCAAACGTTCAGAGAATGTTTACAACACAAAACCTTGCTGTGCAAATGTAGTATAAAAAGCATCACTATCTTACGTACATTGATTCTCACAGAACAGCGTCTTTGTTTATTTTTGATGGTACATTAGAACTGATTGTCTTTAATGAGTGTAGTATTGTCTGAGATGCATTGATATTTAAAGATCAGTGTTGCAGGAAGCTAATGAAAATAATACATACTCGTTTAATTGGGGAATTTACAAAAAGCCATGTGTTTATGGTGTGGATAGTGCTGTTCCTAGATGGAAACTATAGACAAGATAATTGAAAGCAAAAGGAAGGGAAATGAGAATCCTTCTGAAATAGAAAGTCCTTAAATAGAGGCACAAATGTTTTGTCATTTTAGTCAAACACTATGTGTGTCTGAAATGCAGATGACCAAATCCTTCCCACAACCAGATCCAACCACTGTGAGCGGCATTCATGCAGGGGCAGAAGTTCTGCTGCAGTGGAGATCAGCTGTGGTTCCTAGCATGGACTCCAGAGCACCATGTCCACAGCTGAGCATACAAACCTGCACAGTCTCCCTGCCAAAGTGGACAGTGAATCTGTGTTCTTTAATACACCTTCTAATAATGCTTTGCCCTGACTCTGTGTGTGAGGTGTGTGTTAATGGAAGTTGCCTCCAAACTGCCAAGTTTTATTATATAATTAATTAGGGAAAACAAACAGCAGGAGGTCAGACAAGAACTGACAGACACCCAGTGGCCTGTGGCAAGCTGTCTAGTAGAAAAGGAATTAAATGAGTCATGTGCTATATGTGAAGGAATATTTGGGATATTCTCTGCTAGCAGGAGTGTTATGGAAGAGCTAGCTACTTAGGCAGCAGGTCTCACTGTTTGTGTGAGAAGATTTGTTCTTTTGATCTGGAACAGTAAAAGAATTTATAATTCAGTTTGGGGGTCTGACTGGGGAGCGGTACCGTGTTTATTGTCAGTGGAGATTTTCATGGTCTGCTTTCAGGTGGTGTCTGTTTGGCAGAGTTCTGTTACCATCTGGATACACCTCTGTTTCTCCACTGACAAGTATAGGTGGTGTATGATGACTTCAGACCCAGCGTAGGAGCCTAGAGTTAGGTGGGAGCAATGTGGATCTCAGTCTGTTCACAATTGGGTCTGTGTTCTGGCGTTCTATAAATTTAGTTAGGGTATATGTCTTACCAGCTGGGGTAAAAATCAGCCTTTAACAGCTGGTGGTGTTGTAGGACTCTGATTTCTCACTGTCCTCATAGCCAATGTGCTTTCCTGTGAGTGGGACTGGAGTGGGACAGTCTTCTAATGGGAGCTGGGAGTCAGGTGTCCTAGACACCAGCATGGCCAGGGGTTCTGTGCACTGTGAAATGCTTGGCCTTTGTGTTGTGCTTTCATATGAGCATCTCTGCATTCACACACTGTGAAAACACAAGATTTCATATGCAGAGTTGTATGATGTCAGTGATAGCACAACGTGGAAACAGAACTTCAATTTAATTGAATGCTGGTTTCTAAACTTGGGGTGGAAACCAACCTGTTCTGAGTCTCTTTGGAGTATGCACTGCATTAGAAATTAAAAAGTAATTAGATTCAATTTGTCACAGCAGTAAGCAGTGTAAGTGCACACAGGGACCACACTGATTTCGTCAGTGTTACAGTCCTGTGTTTCCAGAAAGGAACCTTAACTGAGGTTTTCACTAAAACTTCAGATTTCTCGTGGCTCTCAGCTCAGACCTCAAGTCTGTGTTTCATTTGTTTTAATACCTGGACACAAATTATGTAGATTTTTATCTAATTAATGTTCTGTAGAACAGGCCAAGAAAAATGTTTCAGTACACTCCTCTAAAATCTGGGACTGTTTGCTCATGTTTGACTTCTGTGTGTTGGATTTTGATTCTGTTGTAGCTGCTTAACTTCCTAAGAATTATTTGTAATACCCATGTGTATGTAAAAAAAAAACAAACCCAAACCAACCCACCCAAACCCTGCACATTTGCTGTGCAATGATGAAAATGTTTGGTTCCAATTTCAAGCAATGAGGAAGAATTACAAATTATTGCAAACATTAATTGCTTAGGAACTCATTACTGTTTATATATAGAGAACTTAGAAAATAAGAAACACATGAGTCTAAACTTCCCTGCCTTTCTGAAATAGTCTTAGGCTTCCTTTTAAAAAAGACAGTACCAAGATGCTTTTCACTGTGTTCATAAGTTTTTATCATTTAAATAGAACACCTTTTAAAAATGATTCCTTTTTGGAACTTGTTTAGGAGTTGTACAGCATTATAAAGATTTTTTTTTAAAAGCCCTATGTAAACCTTTCACATCAAGAGAGAAGAGAGTAAATTTTGTGGTTTATAGCCTTTGTGACATTTTCAGAAGCTAACCTAGAGAGAGTGCTGGAACGTTAAATGCTGGAACGTTAAATGTTGGAGGCAGTGGCAAGGTCACAGGACTAGGAGTCAGAAAATCTAGATTCTATTCTTGGCTCTGTTGCTGACTTGTTGCCACCCGAATTCCCCACAGCCCAAGATCCTCGTACACAAGGTGAAACCTAATGATATTTAATTTGGGATAGTATTTAGAGCTCTGTGGGTAGAGTACTAAGAATTATTATGGCATTTCTATTCCACGGAGAAAGCCATGAGCCAAAAGAATAAAAAGGAAAGAAAATGAACACCTAAGTAGTACTTTATTTTTATTTTTCCTAATGAATTGATTAAGTTTGATTATTTAACACAAGTGCTCTGGAGAAAATTTGACTTTGCATATTTTTGTAACATTGCCTGCTTAAGGGGCACATATTTACAGCTGATATTTTTAAGGCAGCCTTACTAACACAGTGTTTATTCATTTGAAGGGCTCCCTGTCCAACATGAGGAACAGAGAGACTGGCTCACCCCCTCAGGTAAACGCAGAGCAGCCAAACAAGAACAAGAACTCTACATGGCTCTGCGAGGAAGAATCTTTCAGTGACATAATCACTCCGTCGTATAAAAAACCTCTCTATGGCATCTCGCACAAAATCACGGAGAAGAAGAACCCGCCGGGAGCAGAGCAGTTTGCTTCCTACGAGTTGTTTGAGAAAATCAACCCCAGCAGTCCCTCGCACGTTCGGACTCTGAACGAGCAGCGCAAAAGAGACTCGGCCGCGGCCATTGCTGCGGCGGCGGCCGCGGCGGATTCTGACTCAAATATATATTCTTTGATACAGAAAATGTTTTACACCCTTAACACCCTCAATACCAACATGACTCAGCTGCACAGTAAAGTTGACCTGCTGTCTCTGGAGGTGAGCAGGATTAAAAAGCAGGTCAGTCCAGCGGAGTCGGTCGCTGACTTCAAGCCTCCCCCGGAGTACCAGCTGACCTCGGCGGAGCTCAAGCAGATCATGGATCAGAGCACGTCGGGCGGAGATCTCGCCTGTCGGCTGCTCGTGCAGCTCTTCCCAGAGCTCTTCAGCGACGACGAGTTCGGCAGGAGCTGCAGCGCCTGTGGCTTTCTCAACAAAAGGAAACTTGAATCTCTTCATCTGCAGCTTATCCGTAACTACGTGGAAGTTTGTTATCCTTCTGTGAAGAATACAGCTGTGTGGCAGGTGGAGTGTTTGCCTCAAGTCAATGATTTCTTCAATAGGTTTTGGGCTCAAAGGGAAATGGAAAACAGTCAGCAGAATGTGCAATCATCCAGTTTTTATGACAGTGAGCAGGTCGAATCCTCTCATTTTATGGAGGATAAAGAGCAGGAGGAAGCTTTGTCCTTGGACAGGAGTAATGTGATTGCTTCAGATTACATGCTGGATGCTCAGGATCTCAATGAATTTTTAGATGAAGCTTCTTCTCCAGGGGAATTTTCCGTTTTTTTGTTACACAGACTGTTTCCAGAACTCTTTGACCACAGAAAATTAGCTGAAAGGTACAGCTGCTTTGGAGACTCTGGAAAACAGCTGCTGGATCCTCATCGGCTCCAAATAATCCGTCGGTACACTGAAATTTACTTCCCGGATGTGCAGGAAGAAGAAGCCTGGTTGCAGCAGTGTGTCCAGCGAATAAACGATGAGCTTGAAAGTACCTACATGGATGGCAGTGAATGTGATCAGATGAGAGATGACTGTTACGATTCTTCTAGTTTACCAGATGATGTATCCATCATAAAAGTGGAAGACAGTTTCGAGTACGAAAAACCCGGCAGGAGGTCAAAAAAAATTTGGCTTGTACCCATAGATTTTGACAAACTTGACTTTCCCCCTCCCGATTTCGACGTCCCTGTGCCTGATTACCTGTTGAACAAAGAACAGATTAAAAGCATATATGAAAGCAGTCTTTCCATAGGCAACTTTGCCTCTCGATTGCTTGTCCTCTTATTTCCTGAACTGTTCACCCATGAAAACTTAAGGAAGCAATACAACTGTAGCGGATCTTTAGGCAAGAAACAGCTTGACCCCACTAGAATTAAATTAATTCGCCATTACGTGCAGATACTGTACCCCAGAGCAAAGAATGACAGAGTGTGGACCTTGGAGTTTGTCGGGAAGCTGGACGAGCGGTGTCGACGAAGAGACACGGAGCAGAGGCGCTCGTACCAACAGCAACGGAAAATCCACGTGCCAGGGCCTGACAGGAGGGAATTTCTCACCTATGCAATAAACCCCGAGAGGTTTCGAGAGGAATTCGAAGGGCCACCACTGCCACCAGAGAGAAGCAGCAAGGATTTTTGCAAGATACCACTCGATGAACTCGTTGTTCCTAACCCAGACTTTCCTGTGCCTTCTTTGTATTTGCTGTCTGATAAGGAGGTAAGGGAGATAGTGCAGCAGAGCCTGTCGGTTGGCAACTTTGCTGCCAGGCTCCTCGTAAGACTCTTCCCTGAACTCTTTACTCCGGAGAACCTCAGGCTGCAATACAACCATTCAGGTGCTTGTAACAAAAAACAGCTGGACCCCATCAGACTGAGACTGATCCGTCACTACGTGGAGGCAGTTTATCCTGTGGAGAAAATGGAAGAAGTGTGGCATTATGAATGTATACCCAGCATTGATGAGAGGTGCCGGCGGCCGAACCGGAAAAAGTGTGATATACTGAAAAAAGCAAAGAAAGCAAAAAAAGTGACAGGCTCTTTAAATTGCTAAGACTTTGACCACTAAATTATTGTCAGGATTATGCGTCAATTGAGACTGAGGGGCCTGTTGGGAGCTGAGGGTTCTCAGCGTCTGGGACAGTCAGGCCCTTGGTTTGTTGCGTTTCAGTGTGTGTGTTGCAGCAGTGGGAAGTGGCTTACTGCATTTGTACATGGGTAGAGACCATCAGTGAGAGCTGTCAGTGACTCGCTGGAGCACGATTTTCCCTGGTGCAGGTACATGTATCGAAGCTATTACTCCACTCCCCATTTCTGCATTTTCCTTTTCTATCACTTTCTAATAATAAAGGATTTTTTTTAATGGTTGTTCTCTTCAAGGGCAGTTTGTCATTATACCCTTATAGACAGTATTGTTAATTAATTCGAATTTCAAAATGTAAACCTAACTTAATTTAAATTTGAAAGTGCCATGTTCATTGGAAATCATTGGAATATTAGACTTTGCTTCTGCAGTAACTGCAGCTTCACATTTATTTTGTTCTTGATGATACTGAGATACTGGACGTAATAATCTGTGTCAGAGAATGGGTCACAGTGGTGTCGTTTGCAGCTTTGACTGTTACCAGGTTTTATTTCTAGAACCAAGACATAGCTTGAAGAATTGAGACATGAGCATAGACCTCATGTGAATGTTTTTTGCTTGTATTGGTACACCACAAGCTTGATCCTGCCCCTGTGAGTTCTTCTATTGCTTTGTCCAGTGTCACTGCTGGAGTGACTGAGGATTGCCTATACCCATGGAATGTCTTCCCATCACCTGCTTGCCACTCTGTAAGATAGCAAAGGCAACAGCAACAACAAAAAGACTCGAAACAAGAACTTAGAAAATGTTTAGATCTTACAAATGGTCTTACTAATGGTCTTTAGAGCTTATCAAATGGTGATTCCAAAGGTTTCCAGTGTTCATATTGAATTGCATATATAAAAAGTATCATGTGCAAAGATTGGTTTTGTGTTTCAGGGTCCCAACCTATGAGCTGTGGTAATGTAACTCATTCTTTGTGTGAATGCAGCAGCATCTGGATATTTTGGGTGTAGGGGTACTGAACTCCCTCACTTTGCCAAATTGTTTTAGTGTAATTAGTAGCTATTTGAAGACATAACTGTGTGTGTATAACTTAGGTTCGTACGGTCAAGTTGGCATCATTAATATGTTCAAGTGTAACAAAGGCCACCCAGAACCCAATGTGAATTTGCTGTATGACTTGTCACTGGAGAGTGCTGCTTTAAAACTAGTTTGTTTTTTTGCTTTTAATACTGATAGGAATGGCGAGAGAGAGTCAAACATGAATTTTTAAGACAGTAAAGACAGTGATTGCTTACAGACCATCACTGGAACACCTTGGAGCAATTGTTGATGTTCTCTGTGGTCCTTTTTTGTTGTTGTTTACTTAGATGGGTCATAGTATCAAATTTTAAGTCAGTCCCAGTGTAATTTTCTATTTTAGCATTTGTAAGAAAGTACAAAATATTTGATATTTTTACTTGAGATTTTTAGAATTTATTGTTCTTAGACTCATATCGATCCCTTTAAAAGGAAAACAAAACGTTTTTTCCTGATGGCAAGAACTAGTAAAGTATTATGTTAAACCAGGAGAAAATCATAGGCAGTAGCATTTGCTCGTTTTCCCCATATGCTAGTAACATTCTCAAAGAATGTATGAAGAAAGTCATGAATGTACTAAATAGCACACTGATACTGTTTATATCCATTGAAATGTTTCCTGTTGGTTTCAATAATAGCAGACCATGCTCAAAATGGATATCAGAGCAAATGTGGCTATAATAAATCGCGATCATTTTACCAAAGATAAAGAACTGACACCACAATGTCTGCATCTCTTCATTTTAGTGCATACATTTAGCAAACTGAATGTATCAGAAACCAAGACTTTCTCTTGTAATTGTATGCTACCTGGAACCTCTGTGAAACCTTTCTACATGCACTTTTATGGGAGATAGGAAATAACAGAACATATTAACAGCTGTTTGATTTGTGGTTGCTATTGGCTGGCCAAAAGGTAAGAAAGACAATTATATTTTCTTCATGTCAGACGTGTTTCACCACTTAGTGATGTCCAAGCTCCCACAAGAATTCAATCTCTATGAAACTTTCTTACAAGTGATAGATGTTACTAGCTAGGTGCAAGTGTGAGACAGACTGGCTCTTACTCTAGGTGTTGATGCGAAGTAAAAAAAAAGCCCATTCATATTATCTACAAAGTCGTGAAAAAACCAATTTTCACTTTTTAAAATTTCATTTTTGAAAGTGGGTATAAAAGATTTTCATTGTATTTTTTTCTCTTCTAACTGCTGTTTACATTCCTTTTGTCTCACTCTTCACAACCCTCTCATGATTCGTTTGATTGTATGTTTTATAACTGCTATCAGGAAAATACAGACATACAAATAGTGACCTAGTTCACTAACAAAAGGTCTTGCAGTGCACCTGAAGTACAGCCACTTCATCCAGTCGGTCAGTCTTGTAAATAAATTAAAGGTATATTATTTTCTTACAAGAGGAATGTTGTCTGGTGATTGTTTGAGTCTGGGCAGGATTTTTTCCCTGCGAAGTCTGTTATTAAGATCCGAGATTACCTTAGCTAGTTGGACAAAGACATAAATGAAAACACCCTGATTTGCTGCAGCCATTTCATAAAGATTTCTCTGCTTAAAAGAATAAAGTTGTAGTTTTGAGAGTGAACCTCTGACAGGAGGATTGCTGGATACTGTAGTGTTTGGGACACAGCCATGCACACACTGACTTCTGTGGGTGAGTGTTACTGTCTACCTGCCACGTCAGTAAACCCTATTAAGGTGAATATCAAGTGTCTCTGTCTGCTTTTAATACTTCAAATATATCAGTTTTTGATAAGCATTGAATAGCCCATTTCTAAGCTTTCCAAAAGAAACCGTGTAATATATCATCATTCTTTATTTTCACATGTTAAAGCACTTTCTACATACTAAAAATTGCCTTGGAAGGCCTGTAAGAGATGTAAACAGCACATCAAAAAGAAATTGAGTGTGCATCAGTTTATTGCCTGCTAACTGTATCCAGCTGACAAACCAACAACAAATGTGTTTGCAATGAGAAAACAAAAAACTTCACCTGAAGTCACTTGGTTATGCTGCTGCAGTGTAGACAGAAATGTTTCATGTTGTAAGAAACGTTTGTGACTATCTTTTCTTATCTTCCAAACGCATATAATTTATTTCTAGGTATATCTTCTTTAATCTGTCATTTGTCTCTTTTCAATTACTCTTTGATGTTTATGTGCAAAACAGAGGATTGTGTGTACACCAGGTCTAAATTCGGGCTGGAAGGGGCAAACATGAATTCCACAGCCCCAGGAAACACAGAAAATGATATGCATGTTTTACGCATAATTCAGATTTTGTTTCACTGATTAAAGGGATGTGAAACAGCTGGAAAATTCAATGTCTTACACTTGCCTGGAGGACAGGGCATAAACTGATGAGTTTTCTCACTTACCAAGCACATTTTAGTCGATTGCACTTAAAATTGATGGAAGAACAAGTGTGGCAGGTTCACATCTATGCTGTTCTAGGTAAATGAAACAAACTCCATCACTGTTGTTACAAACACTTCTTTACTTCCTTGGTTTGACTTTCTGGTTTTTGTCCATTATTACTGCAACTCAGCACCAATGGAATTACAGATTTTTCCTCAGGAACGTTCTGAAAACATCTTTTTAAATGTGCTTGAAGTTGTTAAAAATTAATAGAAGTGAAGGCTTAGTTTATTAATTCTCTCCTAAAACTGTCTTTGCTAAGAAAGGCAGGAAAAGTAAAAAATACACATTTGTTTGTCTTCATCCTTTCCCACTTACGTTTTTATCCTAGAAAGTATGAAGACAGATGAATTTTTAGTGGCAACAGTGCTTTCAAAATCCTCATTTTGCCCCCACCCTTATAAAAGCCATTCATCTAAACTTCTCACTGGTAGTGATAGTCTTAATTTCTTACAGAAGTGTCTCTCAGAATACATCACACTCATCAATACACTGGTCACAGCTCACACAAACCCTGCTCTGAGAGGTCACCTGCTGCAGCAGAGTGCTGGCTGAAGCAGCTGCCCTGAGCTGGCCACTCCCAAGGCTGAAAGCAAATGACTCCTAACAAAATCACAACTCTGTCACATTCACATTTTCCTTGTGCCTCATCTGACTGGCAGGAGATTAGCTCTTAGACTGTACTATTTTTATCCTACGTTTTCTTTTTTGTCATTTTCTAGATGCTGCCTTTTCTAGCTGGTGGCCATAAAAGCCTGTGACGTGAGCAATCCATTTCCTGCTCTGTTCCATCATGGGACTGTGGGCCCCAGTGAGCATTTTCCTTGGATTAACAATTCAGAAAGAAGAACATCATTGATTCCCCCAGGAAGGGAAGAGCTGTCTCTCCTGCCATGGCTGCAGGGAGAGGACTAGAGGGAATGGCCATAAATTGAGACAGAGGAGAGTCAGATTAGATGTTAGAAAATATTTTTTCACTATTAGGGTGTTCAGGCACTGGAACAGGTTGCCCAGGGAGGTGGTGGGGTCATCGTCCCTGGAAGTGTTTAAGAGGCATCTGGATCTGGTGCTGAAGGATATGATTTAGGGCTGGATTCGATGATCTTAGAGGTCTCCTCCAACCTTGATGGTTCTATGATTCTATAATAATCTAAGGGAAATAAAGCTATTCTTTTCCCACTCCTCCCTTTTCTTCCCCCATCCCAAGACAAAAGTGAATAGAGCAAACTCATTTTGGTTTTGATTCTGTTTAACTGTTTTCCTTAATTTCTGTTTTAAAATCTAGTGTGATTTCCCAGTCAAAAAAATGAGCAAAATCACCACATGTCCAATCACATTAAAAATTGCATTAATAGGTGGGAAAAAATTATTACTGAAGACTGGAGGAAGATCAGCTAATTAGTATCTACACACACACACACACACAAGCATCAAGTAATCGTTCCAAATTTCCTTC